TTCCTGGTACAAGGCAAGAATTTCAACAGATCATTATGTCAAGAAAGCCGCCAGTCTTCTTGATCCCTTGGGAAGTTCAACTTTGACCAATCTTGGTATATTTTATAACGGATTCAGCGGAACGGAGAAAGGTTTTTCAAAAATTCATATTTGTTTACTCAATTTTGAAAAACAACAACAACAAAAGCACTAACAAATTAAAGAATTTTTGACTTGCAAAAATTGCCATTTTGTAACGGTTCAAACTTTAGGAACGCTGATCTATGTAACGATCTGTGTCAACATCCGGTGCTAAAACAAAACACTGAAAATGTTCACCAGTGAGGTTTTTCTTCTAGAGATATAATTTTCGAGATGTATGTACCCTTTAATGTGGGTCTGGGCCAAAAATTTGACTGCAAAAATTAAGTTCATCCGCTCAGTCGTCCTTCTCGGAGTAATTATTTCAGTTTTGAAAAATGACCAAAAAATGAACAAAGATTGAACGATTTTAATTCAAAACCCCACTCGAAAATAATCATAATAATAATAATCATAATAATAATAAAAATAATCAATAAGAAAATAAATATATGAGAATATGACTTATATTATATTTTACATATTTTGCCGTTTGAAGTTGACCAGTAACTGTTGATATGTATGCAAGAATTATAAATTGTATGTCTTTATGATGTTTTGACCTCAGTTGAGCGCCTTTAATTTGTATTGTTTTAATCATTATCAAGTTTTCATCAAGCGATCTTATTTTACAGTTGATGGAGTTTGGTCAGAATGGAGCAAATGGGGCGACTGTAGTGTTTCATGCGAACTGGGTCAAAGGTCAAGGTCAAGGACATGTATATTTCCAGATCCACTAACAACTGATTTGCCTTGTATTGGAGATGATGTAGAAACAATGGCATGTAATCTAGGAACATGCCCAGGTAAGCCCTTCGTTATTGACCTTAGATAACTGTCTATGTGTGTGTGTGAAATATAACATGCCCTTCTTTGGATTATTAAAGTCCTTATTCCTTACAATAACTACACGAACGTGTACTGGTTTCATTCTTTATATACAATGTCATAACGGGGCATTATAATTGTGGTATAAGTAGAACAATAAAAATAATGCGTGTGGCTGCGTTAGTTTTTTTGAAATGTTTTATTTTCTGAAGTATTACCTATGCGTTTTAGCATAGCATTTAAATTTAAAGATAAGAAGGTTAAACAACGAGTTCGGAGACTCCCAGAGTGACCCTATAATTATAACCATGCGTGTTTTATAACAGATTTTTTTGGATATGTTTATTTGAAAAAAAAATCACTACATAAGTTATTGCTTTATGTAACAAAAAAAACGCTTTGCGAAATCTCCGTTGCTATTTTGTCATTGTTTACTTGCAAACACACACACACACGCATGTATTTCTGACGTATTGAGGACATTAATGTCCATAAATATATCCAACATTATATTTAATATGCCTATAAATGTTTTCTTTTGGTTTTGCAGTTAGCGTTGACGGTGTGTGGGGAGATTGGGGACAATGGAGTGACTGCGGGGTAACATGCGGACAAGGTGAAAGGTTAAGAACAAGGGAGTGCATATTTCCAGATCCTGCGAACATGGGAGCTGATTGCTCGGGTGCGCCTAATGAAACCGAAATATGTAACATACAGGCTTGTCCAGGTATTCTTAAAAATCATTGTCTATAATCGGAATATATCAGCATTAGATTCTACCTGCAATTAATTTATATGAGTTCACTGCGTTTCTTTTAGTATTGAGCTTGTTTACAGGTGTCTCATACAAAAATACATTCTTGTCAGTTCGACATATTTACATTTAACTCTTCACGGATTAATAGGGATATAATTATATAATTGAAATGATTTTAATGTTGTATGCCTCCAGACGAGCCAAAACATTTCATGAAAATCAAAGTTGAGAAAAATTATTGAAATTGTAAGAAATTTTTCAAGTAAAAGTTACATAATATGTGCGATTAATGACTGATTTTGCAGTATTTATCACTATATATCTACTGCATTACTAACACAGTTAGGACTTTTTTGGCGTATTTTGACCTCATTTTGCTTATTAACGTGGATAGTAAGTGGCATTTGCAATTTTATTTACTTCACAATATTTAACTTTCAAATACATTTTCAAAAATGTTGTGAAAACTAGCATAGATCTGGAGGTATCTGCTTAAAATGTAATATCTTGTATCGTTTTTCGTAAGATAAGTAATGCACAGTATAAAATTCTTCTTAAGACCACTCCAATACTAAGACCGATAGTAATTTTAAATGAAATATTTTGGTCTTTATTTCAATGGTCACATGGGCCGAAATTTAGACTATATCATTACTATGCTAATAGGACTTTCATTTCCAGTCCCGATTCTTGATTTTGTTTTACTTTTTGAAAACCAAATGTTTAAATTGTTTTCATTGGATTGTTTAACAAATATGCAAAGTTAGAGATTTAATATAAGAGTACCTAATGTTATTTGTCATGTATTCAGTTTGCAATCTTATTTTACAGTTGATGGAGTTTGGTCAGAATGGAGCAAATGGGGCGACTGTAGTGTTTCATGCGAACTGGGTCAAAGGTCAAGGTCAAGGACATGTATATTTCCAGATCCACTAACAACTGATTTGCCTTGTATTGGAGATGATGTAGAAACAATGGCATGTAATCTAGGAACATGCCCAGGTAAGCCCTTCGTTATTGACCTTAGATAACTGTCTATGTGTGTGTGTGAAATATAACATGCCCTTCTTTGGATTATTAAAGTCCTTATTCCTTACAATAACTACACGAACGTGTACTGGTTTCATTCTTTATATACAATGTCATAACGGGGCATTATAATTGTGGTATAAGTAGAACAATAAAAATAAATGCGTGTGGCTGCGTTAGTTTTTTTGAAATGTTTTATTTTCTGAAGTATTACCTATGCGTTTTAGCATAGCATTTAAATTTAAAGATAAGAAGGTTAAACAACGAGTTCGGAGACTCCCAGAGTGACCCTATAATTATAACCATGCGTGTTTTATAACAGATTTTTTTGGATATGTTTATTTGAAAAAAAAATCACTACATAAGTTATTGCTTTATGTAACAAAAAAAACGCTTTGCGAAAATCTCCGTTGCTATTTTGTCATTGTTTACTTGCAAACACACACACACACGCATGTATTTCTGACGTATTGAGGACATTAATGTCCATAAATATATCCAACATTATATTTTAATATGCCTATAAAAATGTTTTCTTTTGGTTTTGCAGTTAGCGTTGACGGTGTGTGGGGAGATTGGGGACAATGGAGTGACTGCGGGGTAACATGCGGACAAGGTGAAAGGTTAAGAACAAGGGAGTGCATATTTCCAGATCCTGCGAACATGGGAGCTGATTGCTCGGGTGCGCCTAATGAAACCGAAATATGTAACATACAGGCTTGTCCAGGTATTCTTAAAAATCATTGTCTATAATCGGAATATATCAGCATTAGATTCTACCTGCAATTAATTTATATGAGTTCACTGCGTTTCTTTTAGTATTGAGCTTGTTTACAGGTGTCTCATACAAAAATACATTCTTTGTCAGTTCGGACATATTTACATTTAACTCTTCACGGATTAATAGGGATATAATTATATAATTGAAATGATTTTAATGTTGTATGCCTCCAGACGAGCCAAAACATTTCATGAAAATCAAAGTTGAGAAAAATTATTGAAATTGTAAGAAATTTTTCAAGTAAAAGTTACATAATATGTGCGATTAATGACTGATTTTGCAGTATTTATCACTATATATCTACTGCATTACTAACACAGTTAGGACTTTTTTGGCGTATTTTGACCTCATTTTGCTTATTAACGTGGATAGTAAGTGGCATTTGCAATTTTATTTACTTCACAATATTTAACTTTCAAATACATTTTCAAAAATGTTGTGAAAACTAGCATAGATCTGGAGGTATCTGCTTAAAATGTAATATCTTGTATCGTTTTTCGTAAGATAAGTAATGCACAGTATAAATTCTTCTTAAGACCACTCCAATACTAAGACCGATAGTAATTTAAATGAAATATTTTGGTCTTTATTTCAATGGTCACATGGGCCGAAATTTAGACTATATCATTACTATGCTAATAGGACTTTCATTTCCAGTCCCGATTCTTGATTTTGTTTTACTTTTTGAAAACCAAATGTTTAAATTGTTTTCATTGGATTGTTTAACAAATATGCAAAGTTAGAGATTTAATATAAGAGTACCTAATGTTATTTGTCATGTATTCAGTTTGCAAATAGCACAATGCCTTATATTATGTTTAATAAGCAGACAAGCTAGACTGAAACATACAAAATGTATACTTAAAATTATACTTATACTTAGAATTATGTTAGGTAATCTTTAGATTTTTATTTCATATAGTGTATAAAAGTTTAGATACTAGTATCTGGACATGTTCATAGAATTTACAAAATGGATTCATTTTAAATCTAAGCCTTGATTATATTATTCACTATTAAGACCCTCCCACAAAGTGTATTCTTTATGACAAAAGTCTATGCGTGATCTTTTATAGTGTAATCAATTAAGTAAACAGAAAAAAGGGAATGTAGAATTTTCAGCAATCCAAACTGGCCATAAAGAGACATAAGATATATTTTATTCAAAGATAATATTTCATCAGTCAGAAAAAAGTAAATAGGATAAGGCATCGTGAGAAAAAAAATCATTCAGTAAACCGTATTAGCATTTACTCTTAATTTCGATTGATGATTTTAATAATTCCTAGTTGACGGTGTGTGGGGAGATTGGGAACAATGGAGTGATTGTGGGGCAACATGCGGAGAGGGTCAAAGGTCAAGGTCAAGGGAGTGTATATTTCCTGATCCGGCGAACAAGGGAGCTAATTGTTCCGGTGTGTCGACTGAAACTGAAACATGCAATATACAGGCTTGCCCAGGTATTTTTTTTAAATTTTATTGCTTATCAATGGAATAAAGACGTTTGGTTATTTGATGCATTACCTTTTCGACAACAATGGCAAACATACTCAATTATGTAAATTAATCGTAAAATTGTGTCCTTAAATGTGTAAGGACTTTGGAAACAGACGCATTTATCATGGGTTTTTAAACGTCTACCATATAGTTACTTTGTTACAAATAATTTGACAGTTAAACACATTGTTTTAAAATTTTAAAAGTGTATATACGTTTGGCGACCTGTCAATGAATACACCTACCTATATCAATCCTTAAACTATACTATTTCAAAAATGTTAGTACCACTGTAAAATTAAACACATGTCTTGTCAACCTTCATCAACTTCATTCTGCTCTGTTTATAATTGAGCCATGTCACGACAAAACCAACATAGTGCGTTTGCGACCAGCATGGATCCAGACCAGCCTGCGCATCCGCGCAGTCTGATCAGAATCCATGCTGTTCGCTTACAAACCCTATAACAAGTAGAGAAACTGATAGCGAACAGCATGGATCCTGATCAGACTGCGCGAATGCGCAGGCTGGTCTGGATCTATGCTGGTCGCAAACCCATTATGTTGGTTTTGTCGTGACGCGGCTCAAATGAATATTGGATTGCATAAACCATTTTAAACATATTATTTTGCACTTTAGCATTGATATACCTAACAATACGTTTCAATTCGACAATGGAAACGTCCAATGGATCCATAGATATCTCTGATAGAGTTCCACCATCTAAAATAATATTTCACATAAATTTTATTTGCCACCATAATCAGTTTCGCAATAGTTAACTCCCATGAACTGATAACTCTACTTACCGGCAATTTGATTAAAGTCAGCTCTAAAAAACGCCCTACTTTTAAATCTGAGCGTGACCATATACGAAATTATTTTTGGTGACTATTCACACAGTCAATCATCGGCGAGCTTTCATAATTTTGAAAGCGATTTGGTTTATAACTTCAACCCTTGGAAAAGGTAAATTTCATGTTTTCGAGAACAAACATTGCGTTGTCCATATAGCCGACAGGTAAACTTGTAAAACAATCGTGCCCATTAAAATTGACTCTATTTTTTCAAGTAATTTGTTTTTCTAACAAAAATAAACAATTTGTTAAACTTTCACCTATAGCGGTATTTTGTTACTTCTTCTAATGCCTATGTTTAAACCGGTTTGATTGCATGGATAAAATAGCTTTCTCGGGAAATTCAAATTATAAAGAAGGCGAAACATATACGGTCGATAAAAGAAATAAGTAGATCAGAACTTTAGTCAGATTTCTCCCATCGGTTGATGATAATCGGCCCGCTACATGAATAATGGCCCGGTTGTCTTGAGCCCAAGGGACATTATTCATCAATGATTATCACTTCCGACCCGTTTCAGTATAAATGTCTTTAACAACATCGATAAAATAAACAGGTGCAACATTGAAAGCAGGTGGTAAATAATTAAACTACAAGTAAAACTACCTCGTACAGTCTAAGATATTAATTAATATAATTAAAATATGTAAACAATTTGATTTCAATTGAAACACATATATGAAAAAGGATAATAAATGAAATACATATATACTCGTGTCACACTTTACTAGAATAATAATAATAATAATAAATAATAATAATAATAATAATAATAATAATAATAATAATAATAAAAAATAATAATAGTAATAACATTAAATAATAATAATAATTATAAAAATAATAATAATAATAATAATAATAAATAAATAAATAAATAAATAAATAAAAATAAATAAATAAATAAATAATAATAATAATAATAAATAATAATAATAATAATGATAATAATAATAATAATAATAATAATAAATAAATAAATAAATAAATAAATACATAATAATAATAATAATAATAATAATAATAATAATAATAATAATAATAATAATAATAATAAAAATAATAATAAAAATAATTAAAAAATGATGATGATGATAGTAAAAGTAATAATATGAATTTAACAGAAACTCCAGTTGACGGTGTGTGGGGAGAGTGGGGAGAATGGAGTGCTTGTGGGGCAACATGTGGGGACAGTCAAAGGTCAAGGACCAGGGTGTGTATATTTCAGGACCCAGCAAACCCTGGAGCTGATTGCATTGGGTTGTCAATGTCTAATGAAACGTGTAATATGCAGGACTGTCCGGGTATTTCTTTAATAATTATCAAGTTTAACAAATTTGTTTCTGGTTTCTTGTTTCTACCTTATTGCCTTTGAGAAGACATACATCTATCTCACTTATTACAGTAATACCATTGATTTTAATACAGCTTAATGTTAATACTGACACTGTCGTTGTCAGGCAGCTATCAAGGAACTATGTAAACTTTATAAAGGATTTCGATTATTTGTTCATTCAATCTTCATATTTACAAAAATTAATTCACTTAGAATGGCGTTTTTACACATTTTGGTCATATTTCGGGTGTCTTTCCACCTAACCATTTTCTTGATAACCAGTAATTACCAGTTTCTTCGAAAGTGACCAAATACTTATCCCTCATGAATTCTGAATCAGCGAAGGAGTAAAATCTGATTAAGACCACTCACTTACTAAGACAAATATTAATTTAAACAAAATTGTTTTGGTCTTTATTTCAATGGTCACATGGTCCGATATTAAGACCATATCACTACTATGCTAATAGGACTTTCATTTCCAGTCCTAATTCTTGGTTTTGCTCTACTTTTTGAAACCAAGTATTTAAACCATTTTGATGGGAATGTTAAACAGATCTCAATGTATGTGAAGTAATAGAATTAATTTAAGAGTACCTAATGGTATTTGTTGCAAAGGGCACAATTTTTAATAATATATTTAATAAGCAGACCAGCTGAACTGAAACATGCAAAATGTGTAATTTAAATTTTCTCCAGAATTATGTTCGGTCATCTTTAGATCAAATATGAAAACACATTTTATTCTATATAGTATATATGAAAGTACAAATATTTGGATGTAGAAATTGGAGCAACCAAACTGGCTAAAAAGTGACAGCATACATATTTTTCTTTTCAAAGATAATATTTCATCAGTCAGAAAAGTAAAAATGACACTAAATGTGATCATCAGGGTGCCTATACCATGTGACTTTCTGTGATCTGTGTATGGCAGAAATCCAAGTTTTATATGGAAATACGTACTACCTAGACCGTTATTTGTATTCGTTTTCTGCCCAACACCGACTACAAAAAAGTCACACAATAAGGCATCGTGAAGTCGTCCAGCATTTACTCTTAATTTCGATTGATGATTTTAATAATTCCTAGTTGACGGTGTGTGGGGAGATTGGGAACAATGGAGTGATTGTGGGGCAACATGCGGGGAGAGTCAAAGGTCAAAGTCAAGGGAGTGTATATTTCCTGATCCGGCGAACAAGGGAGCTAATTGTTCCGGTGTGTCGACTGAAACTGAAACATGCAATATACAGGCTTGCCCAGGTATTTTTTTTAAATTTTATTGCTTATCAATGGAATAAAGACGTTTGGTTATTTGATGCATTACCTTTTCGACAGCAATGGCAAACATACTCAATTATATAAATTAATCGTAAAATTGTGTCCTTAAACGTGTAAGGACTTTGGAAACAGACGCATTTATCATGGGTTTTTAAACGTCCACCATATAGTTACTTTGTTACAAATAATTTGACAGTTAAACACATTGTTTTAAAATTTTAAAAGTGTATATACGTTTGGCGACCTGTCAATGAATACACCTACCTATATCAATCCTTAAACTATACTATTTCAAAAATGTTAGTACCACTGTAAAATTAAACACATGTCTTGTCAACCTTCATCAACTTCATTCTGCTCTGTTTATAATTGAGCTATGCCACGACAAAACCAACATAGTGCGTTTGCGACCAGCATGGATCCAGACCAGCCTGCGCATCCGCGCAGTCTGATCAGAATCCATGCTGTTCGCTTACAAACCCTATAACAAGTAGAGAAACTGATAGCGAACAGCATGGCAGGCTGGTCTGGATCTATGCTGGTCGCAAACCCATTATGTTGGTTTTGTCGTGACGCAGCTCAAATGAATAATGGATTGCATAAACCATTTTAAACATATTATTTAGCACTTTAAATAGCATTGATATACCTAACAATACGTTTCAATTCGACAATGGAAACGTCCAATGGATCCATAGATATCTCTGATAGAGTTCCACCACCTAAAATAATATTTCACATAAATCTTATTTGCCACCATAATCAGTTTCGCAATAGTTAACTCCCATGAACTGATTATTCTACTTACCGGCAATTTGATTAAAGTCAGCTCTAAAAAACGCCCTACTTTTAAATCTGAGCGTGACCATATACGAAATTATTTTTGGTGACTATTCACACAGTCAATCATCGGCGAGCTTTCATAATTTTGAAAGCGATTTGGTTTATAACTTCAACCCTTGGAAAAGGTAAATTTCATGTTTTCGAGAACAAACATTGGGTTGTCCATATAGCCGACAGGTAAACTGGTAAAACAATCGTGCCCATTAAAATTGACTCTATTTTTTCAAGTAATTTGTTTTTCTAACAAAAATAAACAATTTGTTAAACTTTCACCTATAGCGGTATTTTGTTACTTCTTCTAATGCCTATGTTTAAAACGGTTTGATTGCATGGATAAAATAGCTTTCTCGGGAAATCCGAATTATAAAGAAGGCGAAACATATACGGTCGTCTTCAGATCTACATAAGTCTGAACTTTAGTCAGATTGCTACCACCGATTGATGATAATCGGCCCGCTACATGAATAATGGCCCGGATGTCTTGAGCCCAAGGGACATTATTCATCAATGATTATCACTTCCGACCCGTTTCAGTATAAATGTCTTTAACAACATCGATAAAATAAACAGGTGCAACATTGAAAGCAGGTGGTAAATAATTAAACTACACGTAAAACTACCTCGTACAGTCTATTTATTAATATAATTAAAATATGTAAACAATTTGATTTCAATTGAAACACACATATGAAAAAGGATATTAAATGAAATACATATATACTCGTGTCACACTTTAATAGAATAATAATAATAATAATAATAATAATAATAATAATAATAATAAAAATAATAATAATAATAAATAATAATAATAATAAAATAATAATAATATTAAATAATAATAATAATAATAATAATAATAAATAAATAAATAAATAAATAATAATAAATAATAATAATAAATAATAATAATAATAATAAATAATAATAATAATAATAATATTAAATAATAATAATAATAATAATAATAATAGTAAATAAATAAATAAATACATAATAATAATAATGATAATAATAATAATAATAATAATAAAAATAATAATAAAAATAATTAAAAAATGATGATGATGATAGTAAAAGTAATAATATGACTTTAACAGAAACTCCAGTTGACGGTGTGTGGGGAGAATGGGGAGAATGGAGTGCTTGTGGGGCAACATGTGGGACAGTCAAAGGTCAAGGACCAGGGTGTGTATATTTCAGGACCCAGCAAACCCTGGAGCTGATTGCATTGGGTTGTCAATGTCTAATGAAACGTGTAATATGCAGGACTGTCCAGGTACTTTTTAATAGTTATCAATTTTTAACAAATTTGTTTTTGATTTCTTGCAAGCTTTTTCTACCTTATTGCTTTTGAGAAAACAAATACATTTATCTCACTTATTACATTAATACCATTGATTTTAATACAGCTTAATGTTATTACTGATACTGTTGTTGTCAGACAGCTTTCAAAGAACTATGTGAACTTTATAAAGCATTTGGTTCTTTTGTTCATTCAATCTTCATATTGACAAAAAATTATTTTACTAAGAATCGCGTTTTTACCGTTTTTGGTAATATTTTGTCAGTCTTTTCCACATAGAACCGGCTTTTCTTGATAACCAGTAATAACCATTATCTTCGCAAGTGACCAAATACTAATCCCACATGAAATCTGAATCAGCATGGAGAGACAAATGAATATTACAGTCCATTAGATGCAGTAACCAAGAACAATTTTACGGATAAATTTCGCCTCAATCTAAGATCGAACCAACGACTTATGAATTAGTAATCCGAATGCTCTCCCTATTGAGCCAAGCAGCCAAGTTAAGAAATAATTACCTTGAGGCGTTGGGAAAGATTTATGTACAATTAAGAAGTTTTATTGAAATATCGCCTTCTCTCAGCATATTTACTTTGTGATAATTTAACACCCCCCCCCCCTTTTCCTTATATCCCTTGTCCCTTTTATACCCGTATCGGCCCCTTTTAATTCCTATCATTTCACTTATTACAAGTCTCTCCTCCTGTCCTTTCCCGGTGTTTTCCGGGCGCCCTGATGTTGTGGCTGGTTTGTGTCGATCTTTGATCTCATTTGTTTTATAGAAGGTGACCCATATTGGGGAGAATGGGTCGTGTCACAATGCTCCGAAAACTGTGGAAAGGGTATTCGGACAAGTACCCGTTTCTGCTTAATTTCTGGTGTTGAAACAGACGTTAACAAGTGCAAAGGTAAAGCTGAAAAAACAACAGGCTGTAAAGGGATTAATTGTGAAGGTGGGTAAATATTTTGGTAGATTGTTACGAGCAATTGGTACTCATTATTCCTGATCTAAGGACAATCAATTTTGCAAACTTCAATACGTTTATATACTGCCGGTAGTTTGTGATTGTTTGCAACTTTTACCTTTTGCCATTTTAACATTAATGCTATTTATTATAAAATAGATATTTGTCCTTTTAGCTTTAAGCATTGTTGGATTAAATGTACATATAACACAATATTATGCAGATTGTATATACATTTGTATCTAGAATTAGGGAGTGGTTGAGCAGCAACATCTTATGCCATTAAATGGTAAGATAGATCACGGGAGTGTGATATTCTGTCAATGTAAATGAGAAATATACTAAAAAAAAAAAAAAAAAAAATCAATGTGAAGTCTATAACACAGGGAATAGATTTATACTTCTTATACATTTATGAATGAAATATTTATGAAATAAAATGCATATTTTCATTTTCCGCACTGCAGTGAAACATTTTTTTCAGTATTTTCAATGGTGTACACCCGGACAACTTTCCCCCTAATTCAGCCAACACGCAACATTTAAGGGGAAGCATTTCAAATTGTAATTTAAAAAAACAAAACAACAAAAAAAACAAAAAAAACCCCAAAAAAACACCAAAAAATGATCATCATTTGATTTTAAGTCTGTCTTCATTATTTTAAATATAAAAAAGCTTTTATCATAAAGCTGCGGTCTCACTTACTCCCGGCAGATCACAGGACCATCCCGGTAAGTAACCGGGATGATCCGGGACGATCCTGGATGAAATAATGGTTGCGGTCACACTAACCCAGGCAGCAGTTGTAGTTGTAGTTACGGTAATTCCCAACTAACCGCCCAGGATGCGCTCCGGATCATCCAGGCAGAGCCGAGGTGAAGCTACGGTTCATGCATGTGCTTCCCCGGTCATTCCAGGATGACGCCGGAAGAGCCCCGGTTGACCCAGGCAGAGCCCCTGTCGATCCAGGCAGAGCCCCGGCAGAGCCCAGGACGATCCAGGCAGAGCCCCGGTAGAACACCGGTGGACTGAAAACGCGCGAAAATGATAACATTGATACATAATTTTTATTTAATATAATATATATAGTTCCAGAATAGTAATTCATGATGATTTTCTGAAAATTCCTTATGCAAGACTGGATAGAAGGGAAATCGGAAGGGTTTTAATACAAACAAGTGCAATCATCGCAAATGAACCGGACTTTGCCGGGGCTCTACCGGGATCAACCGTAGCTCCATCGTTATCCTCCGGTTTCTGCCGGCGGAGCTACGGTGCCTCCCCGATATAACCCCGGTCGTTCCCGGCAGAGCTAAGGATGAAGCCGGCATAGCTATATCTTCCCGGATCATCCCTGACCACCCCGATGATATTAAATATTTTATTCCATCCGAATGAGTCGAATGCCGTATGTTCCCGGATCATCCAGGACGTTGCCGGCAGAGTTATGTATGTACCCCGCTTGTTCCCGGTCGTTCCCGGATCACCCGGACGTTTACCGGGGCTCTGACGGGGCTTTGCCGGGATGTAAGTGAGACTGTAGCTTAACCTTTAAACAAAAATATGCTTATATCATTTATGATATTTAAAAAGATCAGTAACGTTTTCATGCTATTAAAAATGTGGTCATTTATGTCTATAGGACACATAGATCAAAACCAACATAATTTTAAATATCAATACATGTTTTGTTTTATTAGCTTCGTCAGTTGATACATAAACTTATGTCTAAAAGATGTTTTCTCATATTCACTTTTTTCACCATTAATTTGTAATCAGTTTATACTGATTGTACCTGGTTGGAATGGTCAGCATGGTCGCAATGTTCGGCGACATGTGGCGAAGGAACCAGGTCACGTGAACGCGAACATTGGTATCCAACTAACACCATGGATGGAGAATGCTACGGAAGAGATATAGAATCAATGTCCTGTCAAGTTACTCATTGCTGAGGTAAAACTTATGAATATTTAAAGGTTGTTAAGCTATATCAACAGTTACATTTTATTAGTTTCATAACGCTTGGTGGGAAACTCCATGTTCTCACCGAGGAGCAAGAAAAAACATCACATTAGGTTTGCCCGAAAACACTTAAAATGATATAAATGCTGCATTAGTTGGAAAATGTCTCATTTTTCAACTTGTAAAAAAGAGTCACAGAAATAATTGGGTAAACAAGTGTCAATCTTATCTTTATAAGGTGAAAACATGCCATGTCATTTGATATACCGGTAGTTTTTCATATTTCATAACCTACAATGCACATCCTATCCGACCAAAAACTCTACAAAATAACAATATTTTTTGTTCTAATCCTAACGAAACAGGTTTCATCTTCGTCAAAGATCATCCTAACCTTTTGAAATCTGAACATACCAAAATTTTTCTCGCTTTGGAATGGTTTGTGGTAAATACATGTTAATACGACCCATCTCTGTGCCTTGACTTTATATCAAGGCTTGTGAGGCATATCATCTCCAATTGTCTTTTTGTCGTGTCAGTTCAGCTTGTGGCAGCTAAACTGGTCAGTGTTAAGATATGATTTTGACTTTGGCATGATACAAATTGATAACAACAGCATCAAAGTACAGTAAAGTTTTCAATGCATGCAATAAAGCTAAATAAAAGGCGAGAGTTAACAGAACGTTTAAATTATTAGACGTTCGTTTCTTTAAAAGTATTGCTTATCTTTTAGTTATTGAGGGATAACTGTTGGAGACTTTGAAATGATTTATAAGTGCCTGTTGATTACATATTTGATTATGCTTGGTACAACATACAGGCATTAATACATACATAAAGGAATGACGAAAGTCAGTTGCTTATATTCCACACTTCTATGTATAATTAAATTCACTTTTGTTCTTTATTTGCAGATTTGTTCCCACTTGTAAATCGTGATGTATACTGTCAGCATTCAGTAATAGTTTGTAATGTATTTAATAAAAAGCAAATCACATGAATTAGTCTTCCTTTGTTTTTTAAACATGAATACTGGACACTTTCATTAACCAGACAGTTTTATATTGAATATACGAACAATGAAATTGAGAAAATAAGAATCCCTAAAGAAAGTCCAACACGGCAAAATTGAAAATGTTTCTAGCTTGGTTTGATTGAACCTGTTCATGGACGGTACTGTCAAGTGCAAATGAAGTTCAAATTAGTCTTCAACAATGTCCGTCACATGTACGGACAAAACTTAATACAAGAAGTTGAATATGTAAAGCTGTTTCTGAAGTCCACAAAAATGCAGTGTCCACAGACATAAAAGCACAAGTTTGATTTGTAAGTTTACAGTAGTGTAATGTTTTTAATGTTTTTAATATTTATCCTCGAATGATTTATTTAAAATAGACTAACAGGACCAGTATTTGATAGAATACATATGTACTCCGACGAACGCTTTGTTAACACGTGTTAACAGATCAGAACAAATATTTTATTTGACTTAATTATAGGCATTACAAGCTCATCGTCGTTAAACAACGAAAAAAACATACATATTAACATTAATGTCGGTAGATCATTAAAAAAAGTCAAGATGAATGTATAAACATGATTGAACTTAAGAGCTATTGAATTGTTTTAACAATCCCAGAAACTGCTTAACACCCAGGGGCTCGGATAGTAATACTATTGAATTGCGACGAAACCACCCCTTTAACACATATTTAGGCTTATTGAGTTAATGACACTGTGCCTATACCATCAGACTCTTGAGGTAAATGTGGTTTAGAAAACCAATGCAAAGACGGTCCAGGGTTTATTTCAGCCGAACTTTTTTTAATATTTCATATTTTTTAAAAATAAAGAAAAGAGCCCGCTTACACGAGTAAATAACCCATGCAAACAATGTCTCCTTGAAAAAAACCCTTTTATTTCGTAAAGTAAAACCACACGATTATCTCATCTTTGAAAAATGTGGTTTCATTATTTGTAGAAATACTTGATCCCCCTAAAACATTCTATGTATGTATGCCCTAAAAGAATCAAGAGTTTTAAACTTAATGTAAATGAAAATAATGAAATATTTAAACGTAAAGTAGGAATTGACTTTAGACCGTCCGTTGTATTGGTTATTTGCTCCATGCAAATCATGGTAATCGCACCTGCAAATCATATAAAAATGTTACGTGGTACAGGCACCGTGTTCGGGTGAAATCGTTGTAAATGCGAAGCCAGCTTTACTTTCGATAATTTCCGTATAAGTACTTTTACATGTTTGTCATGTGAGATGATATTTTGCACTTTATAACGTTATTGATTAAAAAAGAATAAAAAAATAAAATAAACAGATAAATGATAACATTAAAATAATAAAAATGAAAATATCAACATGGCGGTTCCCATATATTATTATCCATCAAATGTCAAGCCTCTATTGCATGAATTTGTTTATTTGTACCTTTAACACAAGTGAAATAGTAGTCCAGAAAAAATATGTAATAAATGTGTATAAAGAAAATACCAGAAAAATAATTGTGAATTGTATTTTCAATAAGTTAGATATTACATGTAAATTGCAATATGTGACTAGTTAAATCACTGAGATATTAATCATTTATAAATGTTTTAAAAAACTAATTGACAGATCAGGCACATATGTTGATATTTATGACAGATAAAATACTTGTCATCTCTTCTCATATATTGTTATAACATATGTCATTCTATCGTCAACATTGGTGGGATATATGTTTTAAAACGTTCGACATGGCGATTTTATTAAAACTTCTTATATTGATAAGCGTACCGGTATTAAATGTACTCGGTGTTTCTAAAAAGAAGGGAATTGTTCATATGGTGGGAGACTGGATGTGTGGCGACGACAAGGCCCTTGACAACATAGCCTGGTGGTAAGCAATATTAATGCTTTCTTTATCAAGTCAAAATAAAAACAAAAAACAAATAATTGGTTACAGAAACAAACGGAAATCTGGACAAAACGAAGTAGCTAAATAATAATTAATTTATACGTGTATTAATTCCGGTATTATTCCGGCCTGGAAGCTACTGATTGTTTATATTGAAAGAAGATGAGTACATTAATTTTGTCATAACTGAAACTTATCCTGAACTTATTTAGATTTACGTATCATTACTTTTTGAATGTGAATTACCAATGAAAGGATACACGTGCTTACTGATATATCGTTTATATACACTTTTCGATTTCTTTTCATATAAATTGTAGATTTATTTTCTGCTTTTAGAATAATTATCTCTGATTTTATTCATATCTACAAATGTTATTTATTTTTAAGTAAAACAGTCATTTATAATGTCGTGCCGTTGAGACAAAAAATGAAATTAATTTTTAAAGAAACTACGTGCGAAAATGCATAACCGACATAACAACGTCAAGACGATAACATGCTTTTTAAAAGTCGAAAATACGCTGATAAAATGTTGAAATAGCATTAGAATTTTATTCATAATTTCTTTCCACAGGTATGACTATTCACCAAATCGTGATTTCTTTACCTCAAGAAGCCAATGCTCCCCATTCAAAACCAGTAAGTTGTACAGCGACTCCTTCGTTCCAATGGCTTGGGGCCTTTCTTCAAAACTTGTTCTTCATAACAATGAAAAGTACTGTCTGGCGTTCAATGAGCCCAATCATATCAGCCAATCAGATGTGACTGCACGAGAGGCAGCCGCAGCCTGGCCAGAACTGGAAAAGAGATGCAAAGGTGCAAAACTGGTCAGTCCGTCGGCCTGTATATGTGGTGAAATGTGTAACGATAAACCCATACATTGGTTCGATACATTTTTTGAACTATGTAAGGACTGTCGGGTTGACTATATTGCCACGCATACTTTTTCATGCAACGCCAATAAAGTGATGAAATATTTGGAGGACCTCTATAATAGATACGGAAAACTGATTTGGCTCACTGAATTTACATGCGGACAACTAGATAACACAGAAATCATGAAGCTCTTTATGAAGCAAATTTTGCCGAGGCTTGAAGCTGCTCCATATATTTTCAGGTTTGTTTTCCTTTTCGGTATTTTTCTTGCTTCGGGTAGATTCTTGTTTAATATATCTGGGTAATACGTCATTGCGCATGCGCTGGCGACAGGTTGACATATGAGACACTTTATTGGACAATCTTTCATTTATGATTTAATATAATACTGTCCTCTTATAGCCTTTTAAAATCAGTGGCCCGCTAAAGAGGATGAATGTCTTTGCTTACTGCAAACTGCAGTTTACATGATTGACACATTTTTCGAAAATCGACGTAATTTCTAACTGATTTCTGTTGTATTGAATGCGAGTAGGGCGTGATGATCAAAAGATACTATTTCCATAATAGTACAATGTATATGCATGTTTAAATAAAAGTATTAACATAAAACATCACAAAGATGAAATATCACACATATGTTACACTTCAGAGAATGTTACAGACTCTTTCATAGCCAAAGTAGTATCACAAACGCTGATGTAGAGATGTGAAAAAATTATGACAATACCTGATCATAAATGTGTGTCATTCCACATGCGTTATTTTCAGAATAACTTGACTTACATACTGTACGCGTATAATATATAGGCTAGAATTTTCGATATACATGCATATAAAAATGTTTTATTTTAATAAAGTTGTCTCATGAAGAAGGCGCTGAAAGTAAATCAAAATTTCTATTTTCTTTTTTGGGCCTTTTTTCACGGTGTATACCCATATTAGTACGTATTTTTCGAAATCTACAGAAACAGTATCTTTTTTTTGCTCATGCACAGGTTCTTTTCTGTTGATAACAAAACTGTAGTAAGCTCTGTGGAACCGACAGAAGATTTAATTTTAAATTTCATAAACATTGAAGACTATTAAGTGCATTTTTTCTGAAGAAAATATATAACAATTTCATGCTATATGTATGGTGTGCTTAATCAAATCCTGGTACATTTAAGACTAAAGAAAAAGCTTAGTCGAAAGGCAAGGCAAAGCACGTGTCTATTCTAATCATATTTAATATATTGTTATCATAGCTGTTCGTGTCTCTATATTATTTCTTACCTATTATGATCATATTTAAATTTGAACTTCACTTGTCTATTCTAATCAAAGCTAGTACTTGTCTATTCTGACCAAAGCTAGTTTATTCTGATGTAGTTAAATGTGAGCAAAACTATAGTGATCAAAGCTAGACTGTGATCATTAAATGAGCGTCACGACAAAACCAACATAGGGCGTTTGCGACCAGCATTGATCCAGACCAGCATGCGCATCCGCGCAGTCTGATCAGGATCCATGCTGTTCGCTTACTAACTTTATTAAAAATATAGAAACTGATCCTGATCAGATTGGCGGATGCGCAGGCTGGTCTGGATACATGCTGGTCGCAAACCTATTATGTTGGTTTTGTCGTGACGCGGCTCAATTATTGTCTTTGTCATAGTAACTTATCAATATTAATTATTATAAGGCTTATCTGTTTAAATGTCATAATGTGAGTTGTTTTTGCTTTATTTTCTAAGCTGCTATGAAAATTATCAATGTATTTCATGTAACTATTCATAGTACATTTTTCGTAGACACAATTACACTATCAATTTTAATTGATGCAAAAAGAAAAATCTGATTGTTTAATTAATTTGATTTTTGCATACGATTCATTAATCATCCGATGTTATAGCATGTTATGATATTTGCTGTAGATTTGCTTGGTATAAAGGGCGCGTAATAACCAACCATTACGTCAGAAAAGCCGCAAGCCTGCTCAAACAAGACAAACCTGAGCTAACAGAATTAGGAAAGATTTACAATGACTATGATGGAGGACCTATACCGCTAGATGGTTTAATTTTCTATATTTCCAAAGCTATAAATGAGCCGTGCCATGACAAAACCAACATAATGCGTTGGCGACCAGCATGGATCCAGACCAGCCTGCGCATCTGCGCAGTCTGATCAGGATCCATGCTGTTCGCTATCAGTTTCTCTTCTTGTTATAGGGTTTGTAAGCGAACAGCATGGATCCTGATCAGACTGCGCGGATGCGCAGGCTGGTCTGTATCCATGCTGGTCGTAAACGCAGTACGTTGGTTTTGTCGTGACGCGGCTCAAATGATTTGTCTGATGACATTCGTTTTATTAGTTTTTTTTTCATATTGTATATAAGCACAAAATAAAATATACTAAGTCTAGCTTTACAAATAACAACGAATTATTGCGTAGATTATTAGAATGCTAGTATGGAAACGTCTGACTGTAACTTTTTCTGTTATTCGTTGATTAATTAAGGAAAAGTCAAAATCAAGGTATGGTCATGTTTTCGTTAGCGAGTTATAATATACATGTAAGTGTGCATACAGTGCAGGAGTGCATGGTCAACTTAACCTCAAATTTACCATCCCATCAATTATTTTCCCGTTTCTTCAGATGACGAAGGTGATAATGATGCCGGCCAGCAGGATGATGAAGACGCTCGACTAGAAAGCATCATTGGAGTTACCAAGGCGGAAGCAATGATTCTCGCTCCGGCGTTTACCGATTACTACACTGAATGGTATAAGATATTCGGTGCGATCGAAAAACAACTTGACAAACTTCTTCCGACAGTGGCAGGTTTCTATATGTCAGGCCCTAAAGCGGAAGTAAAGAACAGAATTAAGACAGCATTGCAGAAAATTATCTGTACTGATCCGGAAGAGATCGATGACAACGATATCAGGTGATTATTATGATAAAACGATAGTAAATGTGATGATTATGTTAAATACTGTGTGATGATGATGATGATAAAGATGGTGATGATGATTATGATTATAAAGATTTTGATGATGATGATAATAATGATGGTGATGATGATGGTGATTTTAATGATTATAATGAATGAGACGACGAAAACGATGATAATTTTGATGATGATGTTAAATACTGTGATGCTAATGACGGAGATGAAGATGAAGAAGAAGAAGATGATGATGATGAAAATGATGATTGTACTTATGCTGATGATGATGAAGTAGAAAAGGACGGTGACGGCGACGATGACAACGCTGTTTTTTTTTGCTGCTGCTGATGATGTTGGCGATGGTGATGATGATGGTTATGATGATGATGATAATGATTAAAATGATTATGATGATGATGTTAAATACTGTGATGTTGATGATGGAGATGATGATGATGATGAAGAAGAAGATGAGGAAGAAGAAGATGATGATGATGAAAATGATGATGGTAATAATGCTGATAATGATGATACAGAAGACGTTGACGGCGACGATGACAACGATGATTTTTGTGCTGCTGATGATGATGATAATGATGATGATCCTGCTGATGATGATAATGAAGACGTTGAAATAATACTTGTTATATATGTTATAATTGAATATTATTATTGATGAAAATTATAGTATATATGAAAATATTAAAATAATTATAAAACTTAATTAAGTGAAACTTTAGATAATGCTGGAAAGTATATTTCGTATTTATTTAGCACAGTATAATATGTAAAGATATTGTTTCAGTGCCGAGGCTGAGAGAATCAGAAATCTTGAACCGACTGCGAAGAAGAAGCAATCGCTTAAACGTCCTGGATGTTAGACTCCTCACGGAATGGATACGCAACTATTAACGAAACTATTCTAAAATGTCATTTTTTTCTTTACCTAAAGTTGGATTGCTTGTCCATAAAAGGGAGGCAACCAGCGTTTCTTTGCTTACTGCTCTAACATTAAAGGGAGTCAACCTATACCTAAACGAAGACATCATTGTTTAGCTGAAATAAAAAAGGGAGACAACTTATGATTTACAGTTTAAATGTTAATTTGCTTTAATTAATAGAACAACCTATCGACATGAACACTTTTTATGCTATTTCCCAATTGATGGTTTGCTCTCTTTGATATAATAAGTTTATTTGCATTATTAAAAGTTTGTTCTTCTTTCTCATTGCATGTCAGCATTTTGGAGTTATTTAACTTTTTCTTCCTCATTTATACGCATTGTGATTACATGATATAAATCAAACTATTTAATGTTTAGATTCAGTAGGCATATGTATCAGGAAAAATGTTGCTGTACACAAACAATAGCAGTAGCAACACTTATTTCTTTAAATGAGTATACATCAGTTTAACGAGTACCTTCTGAATTGATAAGCAATACACTGGCTTTGTAGTAAAAAATATCTAAATATGCCAAAACCACTTAAACATCCTTTAATACATTTATGTCATTAATAGCATGTTTTGTTGCTGTTTCTAAAAACATAATAATTATGATGTTGTTGTTGATGATGATGATGATATTGATGATGATGATGATGATGATTCATAATAATAATAATAATAATAATAATAATAATAATAATAATAATAATAATGATAATAATAATAATAATGTTGTAATCTCCCCCCCCCCATCCAAAAAAAAAAAAGAGGAAAAAGATTACACAAGAAACAGACAAATAAACCAACAAAATGACAACAACATCAAAGCAACTACAACAACGACGACGAAAGATGAGTGTGAACACATTAAGTTTATATAGACATTCGAATTAAATTTTATTATGAAATAAATACAACGTCGATTTATTATCTCGTATATCGTTAAAAATTATGAACATTTCCCTTGAGATAAACACCAAAGGGTAATCCGAATAAAGACGATGTGACGTAAACCCTACCAAAATTAGCAACACTTGCCATTTCTTAAAAGTATGATTTCTCAATAAAACAAATTTTATTGTTATTGTGTTCTATTGTTAGAAACATTTTGGTATGGTTAAAAGAATAATTTGGAAAGGTTATCACGTCCTTGTGACGGATATTACACTTTATGTGAGCATAAAATAATTGTTCGGTTTAATGGTCGTTAAAAGTTAAATAAACGCCCTTAAGTCAACGTATAAAACGAACGACTAAATTTTACAGATAATGTTCACAAGATATTATTCTAATTTTGTAAAACACATAATCATTACAAAGATACGAATCACATTGACGTACAGCTTGGAAACTGCAATATCATTATAACCCTTCTTAAGTAGGCAAATAGTCCATACAAAAATAGACAAAACATAAGTACTATGAACATAAACCTATAAAGAAACTACGGTTATGGTTTTGGTGAAAGGATAAATAAATGAATAAAATAAGGTGAGGTAAACTAAGATAAGGTACACAAGATACATGTTAATAAAACCGAGATGAAATAGGAATAAAAAAGGCAACAAATTGATATAAGAGAATATGGAGGAAAGTGCGACCCCCTATTGGTTAAGGTGTTTAAATCGTTTAGTTTGAGCATTATCTATGTATTCAATTAATACCCGTCCTTGTAACTTAAAACAATGAAAACAAAATAACAGCATTAAAACAATAGGAAAAAAAATAAAATAAATGAAAAGCGTATAATCAATGTTTGCCCTACATTTTAGCTATAATTTATTGAAAGGCCCATTATACCTTACAAATACTTTTCATGCTCAAAAGCTTTTTATCTTTTGTCTCCTGTTAAAGTTTCCAAAATGTTTCAAATTAGCCTATTACGTGATCCACACTTGGCGTCAGTCTGTTGCTTTTAGTAATAAGTTATATATTAATTTAGTACTTTGTGAGGAAATTTAAAAACTAGTTCGTTTACATTTTGTTACTTTTATGAGAAATAATTCTATATTCAACTTTTCTTTCCTCAGATGATAAGCATGTAAAATGCTCTCAAAGCGTTGCTTAAACATTATAAAAATCATATCTATCATTTTTAAAGAAAGAAAGACTTTGTTTCTAACCCATAATTTATGCCTTAAAATCAGCTAAGTCAGCTAGTTGTACAATTTGTAGGTAACCCTGGTTACTTATTATTGGAAAACCAGATAAATAAAAAGTCACTATCTAATCGAATAATATTTTTAAAAATCTATGAAGCATCGCGGGCCCGCAATTGATTAATTTAAAGCAAACCTATTTTTTGTTGTTTTTTATATTTTACTTTAGAAATTTATATTTACAATATACCATTAAAGTACCAAAATCAAATAAACCAAATAAAACCTGCTTTAAACTTTCATAGAACATTTTTGCTGTATCAGCAATTTGAAAGTTTATTTCAATAATTGTTTTTGTGTGTTTGGTTTGGTTTTACCCCACAACGACACAGTTTATGTTATATTTCGACGTGAGGTGCTGTTCCTTGCATTATTTTAAGCATGAACGGGCAACTGAATAGAGCCAAGGACATTCTTCATTTTCTGGATAGCGTCCTCACATGAATCAGAGTCTCTGGCAGCGCACTTCACATTGTCAGACTTTCGACGGTCAGAATTTTGAAAATCGAATGCTTAAATTTCTTATGGGCATTCAAGTAAGCAAAGATGAAACACTTCAGATATAGTAAACAAAATGACATATATGAAAATGTTGCAGGCTCGGTTTGAACATTTACAAAGACTGTAGGGGTAATTGCAAGCTACCGACCATGCCCCCCTTAGTACCTGCCTAAGTAGAATAAAAAAAACTTAAACATGAAAACTTTAAATCATTGTTACCATCTGTTGGTAAGCCACAAGAGTATGTGTGTGTTCCTGTTATAATTGCTCACTTACACCACTTTTTTATGGTTCGTACAAGTTAAAATAGTTGAAGCATATTAAAACATAACTTATCAAAATGATCTTTACTTAATATTAAACGAGGTTCGTGGAGATAATTTGGTATAAAGAAAGCTATAAGCAACTTTGAAAATGTCTTTTCACTATAAACATAGTGATTTAATTTGGTTTTATTGTAATTTTATTGCCATGTCAGAATAATAGGCGTAAGCGATTATTTTCAAATTCCATCAGTAATAACTCTTGATAAACATCATAATAAAACCACAAACCAAAACTATTATATATTTATATTTTTTAACAACTAATAGCTGTTAATTGGTAAATTAATGTACCTTATGAACATTTAGAAATTGAAATCACTCTTTAGAAATTAAATTTCATTTTACTTTTTTGTTATTGAACGACAGTCAATTACAGCCATGTAAAACTCATTATGATTCGATAAAGATTAAATACTTTTCTTGTAGAAACGTATTAAGTGTATTAAATTCGAAATTATTTGGTATTTAAATTGTATCGACTGAACTGATTTAGTTACATAAAATTATAGCGTTCCTTATTTAGGTCGTAAATGAAATAGTCCTCTACTCTGCCGGAACGTGAATGTAAATTGAAAACAGCGGTTGTTTTCTCGCTTGAGCACATGCATTCTTTTATTTGGGGACAATACACTGCTTTTCATGAAATGTCACGTGTCACATTGAAGGTTCCATGATAACCGCCGTATAAATACATCTACGGATGCTTCTAAATTCCAAATTCCACCATTGCCAGGTTTTTATTTCGAATTCTGCTCAAGCCGGTGCTGGGGGTGGCGTGAATGGTAACTTGCACTAAACAATTTTGCCGTTTTAGGCGTTCCTTCGGGATTCTGTTTTCTTTCTGTGACAGTATATGGTCCTGTGTCGAGGCGCCGTAAAATTGAAATAAAGTGTTTGGTTTTACGTCGAACCAACACAGTATACTCGTATGTCATATTGCGACTTTCCAGCTTTACTTGTGAATGATTACCTCAGATGTCCCAATGTATATTATATTAGTCACAGACGGGCACTTGATTAGAACCACCGCAGTTCCGTAAGGTAGCTAGATAGCTTTTGCACAGATAGAACCCGATTAGGCTTACGCGGCTTCAATCTTCAGCGGTATGAGCCAAGTGGTTTACGATCAACCACCGAAACCATTCGGCACGGACGCCCCTATGATAAGGTATAAAATTGCAAGAATAGGAAATATATCTTTAAAGAAACATAATTATATTGTTACAGGACAAATAACTTAATTTAGTAAACTCTAGGAAATCTTTATAAGATAGGTCTCATTTGAATTAGCAAATACACAATATATGTTTGGAAAGTTGCTTTCTATGGTCCTTGGTTACAAAAACTTCCATTTCGTTGATGGTACTTTTTGTTTGCCTCTTTTGTGTAGAGTTGAAAAGGAAAAAGTAACCAAATACATGTATGTTACAAATACATATAAAAAGACTTTTTAGCATTTATCATTATTTTCAAGTATCAAATTTGAGCAAAACATCTTTTTAAGGAATGCAACATTAATTTTGACTTGTACAAAATAAAAGTATAAATAAATAAATAAATAAATAAATAAATAAATAAATAATTTTCACACTGGATAACTCGGAAGGACGAATCTTGACTTCCCCGAGGCCTTCGAACAAACATTTACATATACTTTGGTATAACAATTGTTAAATTAAATCAAACGAAAGCGGAATGATAGTTCAATGTATATATATGAGCCGTGTCATGACAAAACCAACATAGTGGGTTTGCGACCAGCATGGATCCAGACCAGCCTGCGCATCCGCGCAGTCTGATCAGGATCCATGCTGTTCGCTATCAGTTTCTTCACTTGTTATAGGGTCTGTTAGCGAACAGCATGGATCCTGATCAGACTGCGCGGATGCGCAGGCTGGTCTGGATCCATGCTGGTCGCAAACGCATTATGTTGGTTTTGTCATGACGCGGCTCATATAATGTCTTTACGAGTAATAACCTGTAATTTATACCATTGCTTTTAACGATTTAAACGTCAACACATAGCAACACTAATGTGATTCTTCCTCGATTTTTTTTTGGTATGGGGAACAATGTATACTCAACATCACTAATTCCGCGTCATCATTTATTTCACGGTAATGACACATTTTCATGTGACCAGTGTTTAAATTGGTCAGAATTGACATATTTTATATATACACTAAAACAACAAACTAATGGTGCAAAATATATTAAATCTCTAGATTTTAACGTAAAACAGAACAATATTGTACAAATGTCTGCAAAAAGCACCAATAGTCCATTAATTTGTGCATATGTCTGAAACAATCATCATTTTCTAAATGTTCTTGTATGTTGAAAAAATAAATTTTTAGTTATAAAGTAAAGATAGTTTTGATATTTAAAATTAAGCAAAATAACATGTAGAAATTTTAACTGAAACATGAAAAAACTGCCATAAAACACCATATCCGCGATTTAAATGATGATATACTGTTCTAAAATTGGCCGACATATGGTCTACGTCTGGCTCATGTAAAAATTCATTGACTGAATAAATTGCTGTTTCCTTGTGTCATACAGCAGAAAATACCTATATGTTACAGCTTTTGACAATTTTTGTACCATAAATTTCATTCGTCGTGCTCTTTCTTGTTTCAAAGCGTTAAGTACCATGAACTAAGGAAGCACAGTATAAATTGACCAGGAGCTATAAACAATCATGGCCCACTTTGGGTGTCAGATGTCATAGGTTACCGGAAGTGGATTCCAGGACCATCGGATTACTGACCATGAGACTTTTAAAATCAACTATTCGAACGTTTGCACATTTTTATACCTCTACCGTCACGTGACACTGACTATGTACATGTATATATCTACAAATTCTGTTTTATTTAGTCTTTAAATAAATGAACAATGTTAATACAAAAGATAGGCAAATAATAATTAGTAAATTGCATATAATATAAAATTCAGGTTTTTTTTGTAAAGGAACAAACAACTGCTCATAGTCAATAAAACATGTACTGTTACTTTATTTTGTGCGGCATAACACAAAACGTATTGAAATAAAACCGGACACATATTTACAATATCTATCAAGATGTTAACATATTACCATACATAAATAACAAAATGAAGCCTTTTTAACTTTACAAAGCCTTTTCAACTTTATAAACAGGCTTTTGGAAAGAAATATTTATTTTTTTAACGTTTACTTTGAACGGTAGCTATGACAACACTGTTTTTATTTGACGAAACAGCTGTAATTTGAGAAGTTACATTGTAGCCAAATTTATCAGGCTTTGAAAGGTCTTTTTTCAAATTTGAGATGGTATTGCATTTTGTTATGCTTAAAATAGAAATACTGTGTTTTACCTGTGAAATAAAACCTATATCACTCCATGTATATCACTTACAATGTGAGAGATGAAGTTTCGGTGCACGAGTATTAATTTTTATACATTTGTAAAGTTACATAAAACATGCAACAGTTTGTTTTATAGCATATTTCTAGACTCAAAATTCATAATTTCACATAGTTAAAATTTACTGCGCAATATTTTTTATGTACTTGAATTGAAATTCGCGTTGTAATTGGAAGCCTGGCGTCAATATTCTAAGTATACTTAGTTTCCCGCGCACCGAATATATTTATTTTTACTTATCAGCCATGAAATAAGACAAATATGCTTGACAAGTCAAGGCAAGATATACATCTCAAATCAACAGAGCAAATTTCAATATTTTCAATAATAATAAAAATAATAATAATAAAAATAATAATGATTATACAATTTTCTCACTTCTCAATATAATATAGAATATTCACACTAAACGTACAAAAAATATAATTATGCATTTTCATTGCTGACAAAAGTAAGTTAATTATATGAGTACTATGTTTGTGCTTCATCCATAATAACATGATTTTTCTGTCTCGTAAATCACCAGTTCTCTCTTTTTGAAGTCAGTAGCCATTAAAACGTCATTTAGTAAAGTGTAAAGTTTTATTGAATTTATTTTATATCATATTATTTTGTCATTTTCCACCCGTTGTTTTACCACTGTGTTCCGTACTTTGGCAGAATCAACCTATTTAAATATGTGTAAGGAAATAGAATATACAAATTTAGTCGTTTTTTATTTCTTTGCACTCAAAATATCATGACTGGGACCAATTTCCTACGTGAAAAGACCATTAGTTATCATAATAAACTTAGATAATTACGCAAGTAGTTACAGAAATATTATGGGCAATTTACTGAGGTAGAAATCCTTTGCTACGACTCCGTGATCACTGTCAACCAGTCTCATAAGTTTATACTAATATATATACAGTGTAACTTCCGAATTCCGGAACTTCTAGAATCCGAAAACTAAAACCGAACATTTTTCAGGGTCCCGAAATTTCCCCTTCTGTTTTCTATGTAATCAGTACCTCTGAATTACGGAACTTCATAATTCTGAATTCCGAACGATTTTCTGGTAAAAGTTTGGTAAAATCAATTCATATTTACTTCCAAAAAAACTTCCGGAAATTCAAAAAGGTGTGAAGGAATATCATACTTGTTACTTGTTATTGTAAATCCTCCAAATGTCATTATTTTCCAGAGTAACATTTATCTTGACACCTTTAACAATCACAACCTGTCAAGCATGTCAAACTCTTGACGAAAGTGTTAACACAATTAAGAAAGTGAGAAGTATGTAATAAAAAAAAGCAAAAACATAAAAACACAGATAAATACCAAGTACTATATGAAATATATAAAAAAGATAAATTGTTAATAAACATTATGATATTGTATCAACAAATTCATGAAATCTGAAATAGATATATATATTTTTTTAAAAGTATTATTACTTAGCATTTTTATAAATTTAATCATCCTCATATATTTTTCATCACGTTGATGTTTAATGTTTCTACTTGCTCACTTAATTCAGAACTTTTGAATTCCGGACACTTTCAAATTCCGAACTTTTTTGTAAGTCCCGCAAGTGTTCGGTTTTAAGAAGTTACACTGTAGATCTAGTAGTGTGCATCGTTGCTTACTTTATAAACAAGGAGGATCGTTTTCTTCGCCAACTTGTATATATATAAGGTACTCGTAGTTAAGATTTTCACAAGATACTTTTTTAGACATCAGTGCGGACGTGAAAATGAAAAGTGGAATAGTTTTAGAACTTGTCAGTATACACATGCTGCTGTTGCTGGTTGCTATGACAACAGGAGTGTCTACAAAGAAAGGTGTGGTACATATTGGCAGAGATTACTTATGTGGTGACTTTGGCAACTTAAATTCCGGTATAGTTTCATGGTAAGTTTCATATTGTAATCAATTTTCCGCTTTATAAATACCTTAAATAATAATTGTAACCGTATGTAGAAATATTAAATACAAACATGTCATGTGCAAATTTAATTAGATTCTCCATTGTTTTATGTAAACTCATGTGTTCCTTATGTAACTTGAGTTAATAAAGATATGTGCTGTCCTGTTCTGTTCACAATCAAATTTGTCGTACATTTTTATTGCATTTTTCTCACAGCATTTTGTTCGGTCACGTCGTTTTCCTGTATAATTATCAAAGTAGTTTATTAAAGCACAAAGTTCAGGATTTTAGCATCAGTACAAAATTTTGAGCTTAAGTAGTCATCTGTGATTTTTTCTTAATGTTTGATATTTGGTGATGACTTATTATTCAAAGATTAAATGCGTAGTTATTTGTGTAATATTAATGTAATTTGTACATGTACATGTATGTCTTGGCCATATTTAAGTTTGTGTAAATTTGCCAATAAATGAAATGAAATGTGACCCAAACAAAAAGTTAAAAAGAAAAAAAAAAGTATTATAAATTAAGATTGTTTTACATGGCCATCTACATTTAAACTGTCCACAATACTGATCAATTAACCATTTAATTAATTAATTAATTAATTAATTCCTTTGTACCTACATCAAAGAAATCAAATGTTTGTAAACGTTTTAAGTCACCAATTCATTTCATATGGAACTTTTTTGGAATATTAACGATCTTTTTTCAGTCGTTGGAATTATGTTTGTTTAATTCTAGGACAAAATATTCATTTTAGCCAATTACTTTTGCAAAATTAAAATAAAATAAGGTTCGAAAGAGAATCTACTATACACCCTTTTATAATATATGTTCAGGATTTGCCTGCAATTCACTTGCTTTGCGATACGTTTAGAACAATATTAATAGAATACATTGAAATTGCATTAGTGGTATAACAGGAATAGTCTGGACAAATTTTAAAAATAAAAATTATTAAAGGGCCATAACTCTGACAAAAATCATTGAACCGAAAAATGCTGATAATATGCACAACTTGACTTTGTACTGGTCATTCCTGTAAAGTTTGGATGAAATTGCACCAGTAGTTTATGAGGAGTAGTCCGGACAAGTTTTGTGACGGACAGACGGACAGACAGACGACGGAGAAGTGATCCCTATTATGTCGCCACTACTCCGTAGAGGCGACACAAAAATGCCTCTCGAAAATTTTCTAAATCGATCATAGGTATTTTACAAGATTAAGCACAAATTTGAAATATGAAGAAGTAAGGCAAGTCAATGCACTCGATGCACGATTGTAAAAAAATACAAATTAATTCAAAATGTTAAGAAAAAAAGTCGAAATAAATTTAATGTTGCTATGTCAGCGATTTTCTATGCAAATTGTTTAAAATACTAATGAATTAAATCAGATGTTTAAATGCTATTCATTACTGCAGGGAATGAAAATCTAAGTTAACTGTTGCATACATTACTTTACATCATGGGAGTAATGACCAATTTGTGCATGCTGTAAGCTATGTTAAATGTTCAAGACGGTTACTTCAACATAATGCATATAATATAATTATCAAAATACGAACGAAAAGTGTGATTTAAATGGTACTAGTAGCTACTGGTACTAAAAAACTGGGCATACCTTGTCATAAGAATGCTCGATTAATATGCATTTTTGAAGTTTGGATTTGTCCCAAAAGAAGTAGAAAACATTTATACCGATTTCAAACAAAAAGTTGTAGATTGTTTAAAACAAAAATAGTTCGCCTAAAAAGCTGTCTGTTAATAACGTTTTTAATACATTATATACATATGCGAAAACTAGCTTTGACATGGACAATTATCTTAATTTGCTTGATGTAAATCTTCAAGAATATGTTACACAAAATTGTGTATATTTGCTCAAAAGTTAAGAAATGAATCTGCTGGCATGGCCGGAATCGGTTGGAAAGACAGGGACGTTTATCAACGAAATTTTAGACGAATTTCATTTGTACTTAAATGTAAAGCATATTAAGAATTGCAAACTTAATATGGTTGTCCTACTTTACACCTAATAAATTGATATTACTTTCAAAAATCTGGCCGTGCATTCAGTCAAAGCTGGTACATTTTCAGCCCTTGCAATTCGCCCTAAAGTATTGTGATATTGGTATTTTTAGGATATTAATTTAGCATTTGACTTGTTGCCCGAGTCTGCCCAGTATTCGCATTTAAAACCTGTGAGATAACGCTAAAATACTTTTCTGATTGAAATGTCGTTATTGAAGTCACCATATGGAAAACATGCTTCGTTACCTCTTAATCCTTCATAAAGAAAACGAAACCTTAAAACATAATTTCTAAGAAAGCGGAACTCGGACACCTGAGACGGAAACGTTTTTTCAGAGATCACTAAGACATATACCCAGAATTAAATAGATAACAGATTTTTATGTGAGTCCTAGTTCGAATTGTGGTAAAAGCGGTGCAACGCTTTTCATTTTTTGGTCATTTTGCACAATAAAAATTATTATCGTAATAAAACGGTGTCAGAAAATGTCTGAAATTTTGCACAATCGTTATCAGTCCGGACCTAAAATAGTAAGTGTAAAATCTAAAATTACAGTGGTAAATCAAACATAACACCGTACCGGAATATACGAGTAAAATACCTCTATATTAAAAAGTCATTTAAATATAAACGATATAATAAGAAAACGTTTATACACATTTCATACACGATTTGATATGAATCTTAAAGATACTTTAAATATCAATTTCTCGCACCATCAAGACCCCACGCGTGTGTCTATATTTGAGACGCGTCACGACAAAACCAACATAATGGGTTGGCGAACAGCGTGGATCCTGATTAGACTGCGCGGATGCGCAGGCTGGTCTGGATCCATGCTGGTTGCAAACCCAATATGTTAGTTGGTATTCTGAACATTTAATATCATGCATAAAACTGCACGTTTGTAACGTTGCTTTTCATTGGACAATCGTGACGTTAATACATGTATAATGTATATTCACGGAGTTTTCACTTTGTTTCAAACAAAATAATTCTGCTGCATTACAAACACATTATGAATATGTCTTGCATGTAATGCAGCTATGTATAAGCGGTTTGCTACGGAGCCCTAAGGTGACATTCTCGACACTCCCCCCCCCCAGCATTTGATTCGTTTTTACGAAATATTCATTCGTTTTTACGAAATGTTAAATTCGTTTTTACGAAATATTAATTCGTAATTACGAAATATTATTTCGTTATTACGAAATCTCAATTCGTAAATAAGAAATAGTATTTCGTAAAAAAATACGATTATTTTTTTCGTTTTTACGAAATATTAATTCGTTTTTACGAAATAATTATCATTAAACTAAATTTGTTTTTACGAAATATAAATTCGTAATTACGAAATATTATTTTATCTTTTATGACATGTTTCTTTAAAACGGAAACCGTGTTTTGACTTGAAGCACAGGACCCCCATTTTAACTAAATTTTCCTAGCGCGTGTACCATCACGGCTGTGGCTCAACGCTATTGACAGGCGATTATTTTAATTTATATACAATTGTGTTAAGTTAAAAAAATTGGGGAAAACAAAAATCACTATTAATATTGCATTTACATGCCTTATATTCAGTCAGGAACTTAGTTTTGAGGCCTTATTTATTACTATTACCAAAACTCTTTGAAACCCTAGAAAAAATTTAATTCGTTTTTACGAAATATGATTTCGTATTTACGAATTATTATTTCGTAATTACGAAAAAAAATATTTCGTTTTAACGAAATAATAATATTTTAAACGAATTTATTTCGTAATTAAGAAAATAATATTTCGTAATTCGAATTATTATTTCGTATTAGCGAAATATTATTTCGTAATTACGAATTATTATTTCGTTTTTTACGAATGAATTATGTTTATTAATTTAATTAATAATATTTCGTAATTACGAATTAATATTTCGTTAAAAGTAATAAATATTTAGTAATTACGAATTAACATTTCGTAAAATCGAATAAATATTTCGTAAAAACTAATTATTATGTCGTAATTACGCATTATTTCTTAAAAAAGAAGTAAGTTCCAGGGGAGAAAGTGTGAAAAATGGCACATTAGTACTCCCCCTAAGGCGACATTTTCAACACATTTTTCCCAGGAATTAATTTGTTTTTACGGATTAATATTTCGTAAAAACGAAAAAATAATTCGTGATAACGAAATATTAATTCGTTTTTACGAAATATAAATTCGTTTTTACGAAATATTTATCCGTAATTACGAAATATCAATCCGTAATTTCGAAATATTAACTCGTTTTTACGAAGTATTAATTCGTAATTACGAAATATTAATTCGTTTTTACGAAATATTTATTCATTTTTACGAAATATTAATTCGTTTTTACGAAATAATAATTCGTTTTTACGACATATTAATTCGTAATTACGAAATATCAATTCGTTTTTACGAAATATTAAGTCGTAATAACGAAATATTAATTCGTTATTACGAAATATTAATTCGTAAAAACGAAATGTTATTTCATAATTACGAAATAATAATTCGTTTTTACGAAACATGTACTCTGTTTCCCCTATTGTGATATACACGTTCCTATCAGCAATGTTTTAATTTTTGAGGCTATTAATCTTTTTTGACATGTTTCTTTAAAAAGAAACATGCTTTATTATAACTTTCTTTTATCATAGTAAAACTAAAAAGGGGGGGGGTGTCCCATTTAAACAAAATTTTCCTAGCGCTGTACAACAACGACTGTGGCAGCAACGCTATTGGCATGTTTTGACCATGTTGTTGCATTTATGTGACCTGATTCTGAATAAAAGTATTTGTTGTTGTTGTTGTTGACAGGCGATTATTTTAATTTAAATGTACATAAGTGTAAAGTTGAAAACTTGGGGAGAAAAAAAATCACTATTTATATTGCATTTACATACCTTATTTTTAGTCAAGTCCTTCTTTATAAATATTACCAAAACTCTTTGACACCCTAGAAAAAAATTAATTCGATTTTACGAAATATTATTACGTATTTACGAAGTATTATTTCCTAATTACGAAATAACATTTCGTTTTTTACGAATAAATATTTCGTTATTACGAAATAAATTTCGTAAAAAACGAATTAATATTTCGTTTTTACGAAATAATTATTCATAATTACGAAATAATATTATTTCGTCATATAGAATTAATATTTCGTAATTACGAATTAATAATTTGTAAAAACGAATTAATATTTCGTAATTAGGAATAATTATTTCGTAAAAACGAATTAAATTCCGGGAAAAAAATATGGAAAATGTAACCTAAGGGGCTCCGTTCAGTAGCAGCTCCGTAGTTTGCTTTGTTTGGTCAAATTGTTAATTCACATCGACATAATGGTCATATGGCGTCTTTCCATTTTTATTGGTGAAGGAAGGTCTCAGGTGCAATAAAGCCACTTACATTTCTTTAGCTAACGGAATAACTAAGATAAATGAAATAATGTCCTGGCTGTATTCTGCCCCAGCGAGGTAAGGGCACGTGGTTTTATGTCAACATGTCTAACATCATTATACCTTATAACACCGAAACAAATAAAAAATAACAAAAACTAATCCATACAAAAAGTTAATAATTGTAAAAGATGATACTATTATTTTTCATGCTTATGGAATATGTTAAATGCGTGGTCTATGAAAATGATTATTTTGCCAATAACTGTTAAAAAGGTAGATTTAGAGCCCGCCACGCCATGCTTTATTCAGAAATAGGAGGATGTTACATTTACTTTTCGTTATTATACAATCAATATATAGACAAAATAATGAAATAAAGAAATATAATGAAACATTCAAATATTTTATAGGTATGACTACTTAATCGACTTGACATATTTTCGTTCAAAAGAAATCGAACAAAACTGCGCAACAAACATTTACGACTACAGTGACAAGTTCGTCGCAATGGTATGGGGCCTCGATACCAATTTGGATAAAACTATTGCTGGAAGTACTGTATTTGGATACAACGAACCTAATCACGAAACTCAGTCCAATATTACTGCCACGTTAGCTGCAGAATCATGGGGAAATATAACTCAAAAGTTCCCTGGCAAAACATATGGGAGTCCATCGGCGTCTAAATGTGGAGGACAAAATTGTTTAAGCGATGATGTTGGTTGGTTTGATGAGTTCTTCCAAGTGTGTGAACAATACAATTGTCATGTGGACTTCCTCATAACTCATACTTACATGTGCGATGCAGATGCAGTTCTTTCCTATTTAGAATTTCTGAGCGTTAGATATTCGAAAAATATTTGGCTGAAGGAATTTTCGTGCGGTCAGATCAAAAGTAAATTACTAATGAAGATTTTTATGCAACAAATTCTTCCTAAGCTTGAAGAGGCCCCTTTTATAATAGGGTAAGGATAATCCAATTTATTTTTCTAATTTGTGTTTGTTTGTTAGTTTGATTAGAAAAAATACTAAGACTTATAATCGTAATTTATCATTTAATATTGTATGGTACGAGAGGATATAACTTGTACAACCACCAAATGTTGAAGTAAATACATCCTGGGCACATTTGAGTATTCAAATATCATTTACATACCGTAGCATATCAGAATATCACTCAGGAGTGTTTTATGGGCAACGGAAATGAGGTACCAATGACAAACCACGAGAAATAAGAAATAATGATAATAAATAAATAAAATAAAATAAATGTGTAAGATGTTGATGCAAGCGCAAAAATAATTTCCCTAAATATGTATAGACCAAGTACTGTTTTAGTATCTCTTATCATCGTCCATGATATCACGCTTATGTTTTGTTTTAGATATAATTGGTACAAATCGAGACTCGTGGAGGAGGAGAATGGTACAGACTATGTCTATCCAGCCGCAAGTCTTCTTCACGCAAACAACAATTCCCTCACAGAGTTAGGACAGATTTACATTAATTATAATGGTGGTGCACTTCCAGTTGAAGGTAAACAAGAAGCATCTTTAAAAAAGATACTCGGCAAAATGAAACTGGTTTACTTCTATTAATCATTTCTAAGTTTTCAATACATATAGGGACTAATGTTTGCAAATTCTTGCATAACAATGAATAATTGAATACTTAGAATGACAAGAACTGTCCTTTACATTTTATTTTAGAATGGCCAAGATTTCGAGATTTCAGTTAGTTATTTCAAATGACAAGTAAAAATTCCTCTTGTATTCTTCTTCCCTGTAAATTGTACAGGAAGTCAAACAGATTTTAGACGGCCTTTGGCCGAAGATCTTGTGAATAACTTCTGATTTCCTTTGTGTATCATCTAAAGGTATTTAATAAAATTGGCCTTTAAACTTACTTCCTGACACTTTCACTGAACAACTAAAAAGGTTTAGTTAAAACAAATAATTATTAGTACATCCGCAGACTATCATTTGGTTTGCCTCTGGATCGATTGAATGGACGGGCATACTGTTTTTGTCTGTCTGTCTGTCTGTTTGTTTGTTCGTCCGTCACGAATCTTTTTCATTTTCATTCCACGTACATACGTGTATGCACATTGATAAGCTTATCACTTAAACGTCACAAGGTCAAATGTCAAGGTCACCACCAGGGATAAGGTATTCTTTTAACGTAGGAAAACCCAATATTATGGTATACAATGTAATTAAAATCAAAACATTAACATGAATCTGTTTATTATGCATAGGTATTATCGTTACCGAGTGGTAAGCTCTATGACTTCATACGGTCTTCACTTTTGGTTTGAATTCCGCGAAAAATGTTTTGATTTCGTTTATGCCATGGGCATATAAAGCCAGAAAATGGGAGGTCAGATGTTTTAATCCGGTGCAGTTCATGCCCGAAGCTAAGTTTAAAGGTGTAGTTGAGTTATTGCTGCAAAGTCATTTTCTGTCTTTGCATTGCTACTTATATCCTAGCCTACTGATTCAGTTGAACATTATTTTAGAAAACTCGCTAGATTGAAAGGAGCACCACTGAGGTAAAAAAAAACAACTAGAAACATATTATTTATTTTGTTTACATAGATTTAGTAAATCACTTAAAATGGAAAATTCTGTAAAGGATAATAAAGAAATATACAAACAATTAAATTGAAAACCGATTTTTTTGGTGTGGTTTTTAGTTCGATTTGAGAAAAAAATTCTCGCAGCGCTTTTTATTTTTGTGTCATTTTGCACAAATAATAAAGATGAATGTACTGGAAAACGAGCTGATGGAATGATCTTTAAATTTGCACACACATTATTGTTTATCAAACGGTTGACAATTCTCTAAGAATATGTTTTCATTCCTGTAATGTTAAAACAGATACACGTCAATGGAGTCCCTTTAACACAAAGATGGTAAAAAACGTTGATTTTTTATGTTGGTAATAATGCTCTTTGGTTAAAAAAATCGTACAGACAGACCGACAGACAGACAAAATTACTGTCACTCTTAAAATATATTTACAAATACTTAATATCTTAAAAATACTGAATTCTGTTCTACCAAATGTCATATGGGGTTGTCATCTGTTATCATATAATCTGTAACCTTCTTTTATTTGTATCTTAAATAAGTTATACCAAAGCCAAATGCACCAGCTGAGGCATTATCTCTTCTTATCAACGAGAAAGCCGCCAATCGAGAAGATCTGACGGGTGCTGACGAGATTGAAGCATTAGCAATTCTTAAAGTGTTTTTATGGAATCCTACTGATTGGCCGGACATACTTTATTCCATCAAACAACAGTACAACAATCTCCAGGAGACAGTTGCTGCTTATTATATGACAGCTACGAAAAAGGATGTAAAGGCCAGAATCAGGGAGGTTTTTGAGGTGTTAATGTGCACACATATGAATCATATTCTGGACAAAGGAGATCTAAGGTAATGACATGGTAGCACAGGGGTGACTTGCTCAACTCATGTTTTTAATTGCACTTTTTTATTTTGTTTTGATGAGCTACATACTCGACGGAAGAATTTATTATATCATGCAGACGAGCTGTTTTGTTGCGGTAAATAGATAGATGAAAAATTGAGATTTAATCTGAACAAAAATATTAAGTTTAAATTAAATGAGTGGCACAATTTAAAATTAAAAAGAATCATGCCATGAAAAAAATTGTGAATGTTAACTATTCTGATGAAACGGTTTAAAATCTCGTTCCCAGGACAGAACTATTTCGTTCCCAGGACAGAACTATTTCGTTCCAAGGACAACGCTACCAATGACAGAACTTGTTCGTTTCTCCTATTCCAAGAATTCCTATTATATTTATTAACCTGATCTCCACGATTATGCTTCGCAAAACACTTCTGACATAATAAGGCGACATATCTGAAATATTGCAGTCAAGTGATTCCGCCATTTTGTTTGTTTCTATTAAGAAGTCAGTTGTAAAGTTTTCAAATTTTAGTCAATTTTAATTGCTTTCCATAAATGAAACTCAGGTCAATTAAAAAACATAATTAAATAATTGAAGAATGTATCACAAAGATTTAAAATACAAACACTGAGGGTGTGTCATTTGTAACTTTCCCTTTCAAAATTCCCCTTTCAAAATTCCTTTTTATTTATTCCACCAATTCTTTTCTCGTTTAGGGCACAAGCATTCTTTTACTTGGGGACCATACGCCGCTTTTCATGGAATGGCACTATTGTGTCACATTGAAGGTTCCATGACAATCGCCGTATGAACACATCTATGTTTCTAAATTCAAATTTCACCATTTTCGTGTTAAATGTTGATTTCTGCTTAAGCCGGTACTAGGGGGCGTGGACGGTAACTTGCACTTTCCATTACCGTCCATGAATAGGCTTAAACAAACCGAGCATGCAACACTTTCAATTTTGTCGTGTTGGGCTTTCTTAAAGGATTCTGCATTTCTATATGTCTCTAGAATGAAGAGACATCTTGTCCAAGTTTACGGAAAGAGTCGATGTCATTGCTACATTTACTTTCTCGATAATATAACGTTTTAAAATATAACGAAATAGGACAAAACGATTGTTGAGCACCTTTCTTATAATTGCAGTCACAAGTTTTCCACGAACTCAATACAGACTATTTGAAATAAACTCTGGTACTTAGTATTATTAAACAATGTTCGTCGCTAAAAATGTTCTAGAACATACGCCGCCTGTCTTTCTTTTTCTGCTGCACTCATTTTTTTTTTAAATAAAAAGAGTATTTGTTTGTATGATTGAAAACAATAATCACATTGAAAATGTTGATAAATTTATATCTTGTTCATAACTGTTTTCACTTAAATGCAATATTATTACAATGTCAAATTGATATAAAAAACAAAATAATTGTAATGATATTATTTGATATATGTCAATCATAAGAGTATTTACATTTAACATTGATTTCTTTATGACAGGACAGAGGTACAAAGGGTCCAATCGTTGGAATATAACATAACAGGTTTAGAGAAAAAGGGACGGCTGAAGATCCCAGCATGTTGAAAGCAACAAAGAAGAATCTTATTCCAAATAGAATCTGCTAATATTCAATTCATTGCTTTACTATATTGTAGGATAGTATGCGTCGACATATAAGTACTGGTGAAATATCTGAAATATCAGCTTTAGAATGCTTCTATTTTGAGATTGTTTGTAAAAATGAGTAAGATATTGCCTGAAACTCTCTTCTTAAACTTTGCTATAAAATGTTATCGTTTATCATAAACATATGTAAATACTTCCATATATAAAAAAAGTAATTGCTGTTACAAAGAAATCCTGCCGGTCTGTAAACAGAAACAACTGACAACTGCTACTAAGAATCCAGGCTTTTCTGTTACAAGGATCAAAGGTGAACAGTTACAAAGAAACCATGCTGTTCTACGACAAAGCTCCACGGTGAAAAGGTACCAACAATATACTAGTATGCTGTTCCGTAACGAGGATCCACGATGAACTACAAAGAATCTTTGCCGTTCTGTAACAAGGATTCACGGTGAACTGTTTCCAAAAATCCATGCCGTTCTGTAATTAAAAACAACGGTCAAGTGCTCAGAATTTAAATTGGTATTAACAACAGAAAGTATAACATACATAAATATTAATTTTTGATGTATGACTTTATTGTATATAATGACAAATTACATGTAAACGAACAAATATAAAACCGCATTTAATACTGATATACATAAAGCTTTTTCATAAGATACTGTTAGTTTTTCCTGTTATTATTTATCACTTGATGCAAGCGTGAGCAATCCGGCCGTATGCCGCCCATAGTCCATTCAAATGACATCTTCGCTGGGTAACAATATCTAATCTGATTAAACGAAAAGGAGATGTTTTCTTTGCATGAAGTACTCCCAAATTTATTTAAATGAATTTGTTGCACTGCAACAATAGGTTGCAGATGCTGAAAACGTTATTTAAAATCGTAAGCCTGAAGCTTATATATTTTGTGTGTACCATCATTTAATATTTGAAAAACTGTATTTCGTTCGTGACCATTGAATCCAACTTGACCTCACTTCATGAGTAAAAAAAATAAAAGTATTTTCTAAAACCATCAAAATTGCAAAAAAAGAAAATGTTGCAGGCTTGGTTAGAAAGCGCATGTACACACAACCTACAGTCTACGCCCCCGTCCCCTTTCAAATCGGCTAAAGCAGTATTCACGATGAATACATTCCAATTGTGAAAACCAGAAATATTCGCGGATGTGTTCAGAAAGCGCAGTTTATACATCCTTCAATTTGTGTATGGTCACAGAATTAAAGATTTGTGTGTCCTAAATGAGAAAACAGTTGGCGGAACTAAACATATTGAATGTTAAAACGGATCAGATGTCATGTATTTTTTATTTTACATACATATATTCTAATACTGGAAACAAAAGCAATAAGAAATTTGCTTTTTTTAATAATAATTGCGAGACTATTATACAAAAATCCCAAGTTTGAAAGTAGTGCATGTAGTGACTATTTCCACTTTGCAAACTATTTTTTTCTCTTTGAAAAAAAAAGTTATTTAAGCTTTAAATGTTTATTTCAAGTTATAAATAATTACATTTACAACAATATAATATATTTCGTCATATACTAATTGAGATAATAAATAATAAAATTTATTCTAGTGATCGATGAATACATTTATATTCAATGGAAACTATAACATTTATAACAATTACAATGTTTTCAGTCCGGATGAGGGGATAAAAGAGAATAAAATAGAAAAAGAGACACTAAAAAATCTTTTTCTCAATATGGTTTCCTATAAGTTTGTAAATAAGATATAATACATAATTGTATAATACATTTTGTAATACAAGATGACACAAGAGATCACCTATCTGTAACTTATCAAGTATGAAGTAAAATACTTTTTTAATCCAAGATAATGTGACTGAATATATTAATAATGACCAAATATTTTACTCATGGGTGAAATAAATTACATTTTTGAAACAAGTCGTCTATACAACTTTGAGACTGTTGATGATGATTTATTAACTCAATTTAAAATTGGTTTTAAATCATTCCCAATTCGCCAAGGCATCCAATTAATTTCATATTGAATAAATAAGTGAGAGCATGCTGTGACATATTTTTTTTAATGTTTCAGATAATAAACTTGATAGAAAAAATGATATTTGGTAATTGAATTTTATTGCCCTTCACAGCTTTTAATTTCAAGCCATCGATTTTAATTAGTATATATTTTCACCTGCGAGTATAATCGGATTCCATTGGTGTCCAATGAAATGTTTGTTTCTAAAATGACGTCAAAGCATCATAGCCATGTTTATAGTTTACTGTCTATCTCCAAAATTTCAAGAAACTCAAATAATATAATGTGGTAAATAAGTGCCGGATATATAACACAAAATGCTGGTTCCAAAACAAAATAACTGACTTGAACGTTACATTATTCAAATGCAAAAACAAAAACTAAATGTATTATGTAGTATAAGAAATTAAAAGTGATAAATTTGACATATGTATGAAAGTTAAAAAATGTTATACAGTGAATTTTAATAAGGACTGCAAATACATTAAATTTTAGTTTGAAGTTAATCTTAAAGATTTTTTAGTAAATCTTACAGAGCCCCAATGAGTTAGGATATTTAATGACAAAAATTCTGTTTTTTAAAATATTATTTAATGTCAAATTTAACTGTTTGAAACTATGGACGACTGTATTAAAACAAATACTCCTTTTCATTATATTTTATGATGAATTTTATGATTAAATTTTATGATACTTTTGAATGTGTAACAAACAGTAAGAATTTATATCTATAGTGTCAGCTTGTGATAATAAACTTACAAGACGGCAGTCATTGCAAGATGTTCTAAAGAATTTAATTTCATTTTATTAATTTTGTAAAGCAACCAAAAAACAAAACATTTGGCCCAAAGTAGATTAATATAAAAAAATATCATAACAAACATGGCCAACATTACAGCATACAATATACAACAAAAAGATTGCAAGAATGATGAGTCTTGTTTTTCATATCTTTTAACCAGAATTTCAGAGTTCTTTCCTGGGAAATAACAGACAGAGGAAATCTTCATATCCTCCCAAACACAACATAACCTTGTGTTTGTTGACGTACACCATGTATATAAATTTAAAATGAAATTTGTCTATTTCCTTGTCGTTAAAAAACTTGGAAACAAAGTTATCCCTCGGAAGCATTAATTACAACAAAATTACATGAAAATTGCAGACTCGGTTTGATTAAGTCTGTACATGAAGGATAATGAATAAGTGAAACATCCCTCACACCCTCTAGTACCGGCTTGAGCGGTACTCAATTCTCAACACTTAAATAGTGCTGGCATTAATGATCCCGAAGGACCAGAAAAAATATAACAACACTGAAGTGAAGTACGGGGCAACTTTTACAGCTGCCACACGGCACTTGACACCTGCTGTTGTGAAGTATACAGATCTGGAAACAAAGTTATCCCTCGAAAGCATAAATCACAACAAAATAACATGCAAATTGCAGACTCGGTTTGATTGAGTCTGTACGTGACGTTATCAATGTCATGAGTTATAAAAAACATATCTTTATAAGGTATGGCCGAATATATAATTCATGTTGTTCATTTAAATAAAGGGAGGTAAATAGAAATAAAATTTGATAAAGTCTAAGCCAAATAGTCAATATATGTATTATTTTTAAAACTAATTTATAATGTTTATCTTAAAATGTGTTGTATAAACGCGTTTAACAATAAAAAGAAGAAGAAAAAAGAACCTTAATATTTTTAAACAATAACTTATAGTTTCTTGATAATAAAATAAAAATGAAACGTGTTTTGATTACAAAACTTACCAATTTGACTGATAATAAAGTAAATGAATAAACCATTTACCACTTTCCCCTCATTGATGTGGGTTCGAATCTAGACAGTGACTTTTAATTAATTTGATAAGGCTATCCAGCGAGCTTACGGAACGTTGGTGATTCTACTCAGGTGGTCGATCGTGCTTGAAATAATGCACGTTTCATCACCAGTAAAGCTAAAAAATCGTCCTATACTGTGTTAGTGCGACGTAAAATCCATCCATAAAAAATGAAAGAAAAATATATTTGCGACTCTTAATAAATACTTATGCGATAGCATGAGTTATATGGATAATGAATTTAGAAAATAAAAAAAAACTTTACCAATACAACACTGCATTTACACTGAACGCATTCATTCAATCATTCAAAAAACTTTAAATAACGCCTTTTTGACAGATAAGTTGATCAACATGTTTTGTAATGCTCTTGATTTTGAATGTTATATTCAAATTTCATTTATTTAACCATATCTTGTCTTCACCTTAAACGTGTCAATTATACAATTACGAGGATAAGCTTGTGTTCGGCATGTAGACTTTGAAACCCATGGGATGTAAAAACTTATATGAATAATATTTTTATAAAGCAAATTTAAATATGGTAATAAACTACTTCAAATGAAAACATGTTTGATGAAATAAGTAAGAGATCTTAGCATGATTAAAATATTGACCTTGTTAACTACAACTTTATTTAACAAGTTGTTATATTCCCTTAATGCGACACAAAAGCCTTCTTAAAATGACAGTTGAAGATTTCATGAGTCCTCAGTAGTTTTCGTTTATTTTGACGTGCTTTGGCATGAATTTAAACGTACCTAAGTATGCTTTTATATCAAAATTTGTATTGAAATAAATGCAACCATTTATTCAAAGAAGATGTATTAAATTATAATTTCGGGGATCAAAATCACTTCGTCATGTGAGATTTAACTCCACAGGATATCAGACTATTATTGAGCATCTGTTTTGGCTTTTTGAATTACATCATTTGACAACATTTTGCATATAAAATGATTTCATATGTTTCAATAAATTTAAACATCACTGTGACCAAATGTTGAGTAACCTTTGCCAAAATCACAAACTTAAATTTTATTTAATTAAAACTCCAATAGTTCTCAACAAATATGTTAATTATG